CCGTGACCCAGCCCCTCCCCGCCCCTTCCCCCGCCTCCTGCCCAGCCCCCTCCTCCTCAGGTGAGGCTGCCCGGTCTAGCAGGCCCCACGCCACCGCCTCTGCCTCCCGGGCCGCCCGCTACAGCGGGGCCACCATGCTCCTGCCCAGGCCTGGAGACTGATCCCAAAGGGCGCCATCTCCCGGCTTCGCCCCCACCTGCCGGACCCCAGGGTAAGGATCGGGGCCCCCAGACGCACGGTTCCAGTCTCAGGGACATGGGTTTCCTCATACCTCAGCCAACCTGATGCCCACTTCCTACTAGAGGGTTCCCAGGCCCCGGAAGAGTGGACTCTCGGGACTTCTCCCTAAGGACCCAGGCGTTCCGGCTGCTCTTTCCTCAGATTCAGGAGTTGGGCCCCAGCTCTTTCCCCCCCCAAGACCCAGGGGTCCTGGCTTTCGGACCCCTCCTCCCTCACGCCAAAGAGTCCTGGCCCCCAAATCCCTCCTTTTCCAGGACTCAAGAGTTCAGGCCCTCAGCCCTTCCTCCCTCAAACCCAGGAGTTCAGATCCTCAGTCCCTTCCTCCCCCAGGTTCAGGCAGGGGGGTCCCCAGGCCTACAGATCCAGACATCCAGACATCCTCCGGCCACTGGCCAGACGCTGATCCCATCCTTGAACCCAGCCCAATCTGCGTCCGTGATCACAGCGTGTCCTGGCCAAGACCCAGTCTCTGGATGGGCGCCTGGGACTGGGGGTGTCCACACTGGGCTGGACTCCCCTGGACCCTGGCTCGCTGTTCATCTCCCCACAGGTCCCGCCCCTGCCCAGGAGGTCAGCCAGGCAATCATTAACAAGAGGCTGTGACATGGCGGAGAAAGAGGGTGAGTGCCCCTTTCCCTGGGTCCCCACTTTGGCTCTGCCTGGCGCCCCTCCCTCTGTGCCCTCTTCCCAGCCCTCCGCCCCTTCAGAGGCCCCTCTCTGTGGGCGCCCCTCCCAGACCCTTCCTCACCCCTTCCGAGGCCTCCTCCACCTGATTAACTATTAACCGAAGTTTCCGTGTGTCTGTGCCACCACCTACCTCCCTGCTACCCCGTATGACCTTCCTGGCGCCTTGCCTCAGTTTCCCCTCACCCCCAGTGATGGCTCGGCTAACCCTGGACCTGCCCTCGACTCGGGGCAGAGGTGGAGAGACGGTAGCCGCCGTGGTTCAGGATACAAATTCTGGAGTCAAACACATGGGCCTGCCTTTGAATTTGCTTCTGCCACTTTTTGGCGGCATGACCTTGTGCGCGTGACATCATTTCTCCAGCCCTCAGTTCCCCCTGGGGTCAAGCGTGGAGCCTAATACTCTCTCCACGGGGTTGTTGAGAGCAGGGAATACCCAAGGCACCAGCTTGGGGCTCAACTCGGAGACACACACCATAAACCGGAGCTGTCATGGCAGAGGTTGGTAGGCCTGGAGTCCCAGGGACCCAGGATCCTCACCCATTCCACACGTTCCTCCCACCTCCTGGCTCTGTGGGCAGAAGAGCAAGGGAGGACTTTGGACTCAGCCCGGACGGATGGAGAGGGGAGAGACGGCAGAGAAGCCACTGCAGGGATGACGGAGAGGAACCGGCCGATGGAGTGGCCGACCCTCAAGGACTCTCGGCAGTCTCCAGTCTAGCCGCTCTGCAACCTCATCTACACATGGGAGCCAGCAGGAAGGGCGAATGGGAGGCGGCTTTCCTTCCGACCTTCCCTCAGCTGGGACTGATCCCCTGTCTTCTTCCTGGAACCAGATTAGCTGGGATCAGTCTCAGACAGTAGCACTTTCTGGCTGTGTGGCCCTGGGCCAGCAGCTGACCCTCTCTGGGTCTCTATTTCCACCTCTGTAGAATGGAGATGGTAATAGCGCACTCCTCACAGGGTGGTGTGAGGATTGAAATGACAGGCAGAAAACACTGAGTGTGTTGTCTGGGGAGTCACAGATTCGTATGGCTCTCTGGCTCCCGTGGGTCTCGGAACAACTGACAACTCAGACCCCAAGCCATTCAGTTACAGTCCAGAGAGAAGCCAGGCACCCAGTCACTCAGAGGGAGGCACCGCTCCCTGGCTGAGCAGACAGATGGCAGAGCCTCACTCCTTGGGGACTGTGTCTTTCCTGGTGCCAGGGAGGCACCAGGGCTGGGGCCTCTGGGTGAATGAACCAGGGAAGAAAAACAGAAAATGCCCAGATGGACAGAGATGGTCTGGGTGCAAAGACATAGCAGATGCAGAGTGCCCTTCCAGGCAGCTTGGCCCTGGTCTTGGAGAGGAATCCTGCCACCAGGGCCAGAGGGTGGGTGTTAGACCTGCACACAGATGCTGAGAGGCTCTGGCACTGCACTTGCTTGCTGGGCAACTTGTGGTTGGAACGAAACGACCCTGTGGCTTCCAAGCTATCATGGGGTTGGGATGCTGGTTTCCTCATCTGTAAACAGGATGATGACAATGGTAGGTACCATTGTCCTTAACAGCTGCAAGGATTTAGGGAAGCTGTTCAGGACAGGACAGGGGTAGGGCAGGGCCAGGCGCTGGCCTGTGATTCTGAGCACCGTTGCAGCTACAGCGGCTGCAGCGGCTGCTGGTGTTTGTATCTATTCTTACTGCTGAGGTTCACCCAAGGGGTGGTTCTGGGTGCTGTCCAGGGACTTGGATTTGGAGGAGGCGATGTCTGAGTGCAACTCCAAGGATGCCAGGCAGAGGCAAGAACAAGGCTGAAAGCTGAGGGTGACAGTGCTGGTGTGCGGTGACACGTAGATGGTTCTGGTATTTCTGGAGGTGAAGTTGGAAGTGTGGCTCTCTGGCTCCCTTGGGTCTCAGAACAACTGACAACTCAGACCCCAAGCCATTCAGTTACGGTCCAGAGAGATGCCAGGCACCCAGTCACTCAGAGGGAGGCACCGCTGACTGGGGGGACGTTGGGTGTGCAACCCGGACCTGGCTTGGGTGGGTCAATGGTGAGGCCCAGGCCGATTCCTTGGCAGTGCTGGGTCTTCCACCAGGTGGCGCCGGCGGCCATGCTTTCCCTGGTCTACTTGTATCTCACAAGTTATGTGGTGTGACTTGCTTTTTGGAAGCTCTGTCAGGTGTCTGATAATGACCCACATGGCTGTCTGAGAATTTGGAGAAACATATATTCAACTCCTATCCAAATCCTAGAGTGGCTGGAAAGTCCAGACTGAGGGCCTGAGACTCTCCCGGGGACACTGGGGCGTCACAGAGGGTTCTAGGTACAGGAGGGCCAGGTTGGATTTGGTATTTAAGTCGGTTCCCCAGGCTTCCATGTGGAGGGTGGACTAGAAGGAGAGACTGAGCCGGGAGGCGGGATGGGGCTGAACCGAAGCAGGACAGGAATAAGAGAAGGAAGAACAGCGGGAGAATTACTCGGGAGGCCCGACAGGCTGTGGGCCTGCCAAGCTGTGAGGGGGAGGAAAGTGCCCTGCAGACGAGGGAAAGTCCTGGGGACAAGGGCCTCCAGGACAGGGCCCAGGAGGAAGAACACATACGGGGAGGCATGGAGGCCATTCTGGGACCTGGTGGGTGTGACGGAACGAGGGCATCCCAGGGGGAGGCCTCTAAAAGACTTCAGTGCCTCTGACCTGGGAGTTAGGAGACAGTCCAGGCCTGGGGACGGAGGGAGAAAGCTGAGGCCACACATGTGGGTGAGACAGACTTCGGAGCAGGGTGGAGTGAGGACAGACCACGGCCGGCCCTGTGATCTTCAGATTTCAGGGAGCGAGTAGAGGGTCAGTGGAGATGGTGCTCTCAGAGAAATACAAGGAAGAGCAGATGTGTGCGTTGTTCCAGAATTCCAAAGGGGACGGAGTTTCAGGATGGTGGAGTCACGTCAGATGAGGCCCGAGACCTGAAGCTGTCACCTGAGTGGATTTTTAGAGACAAAGGTGTCACCGAGAGCATCGTTGCCGCCAAATTGTGAAAGCAAAGGAACAGTCCTGGGAGGAGACAGGGGTGGCCAGAGGTGCCCGGAGAAGCAGGTCAGAGAGGCTCAGGGAGATGTGGGGTCCAGGGAGCCAAACGGCCCTCTCGCTTCTGAGGGAAAACCGGACTGACATGCTAACTCTCACAGCACGAGAACGCTGCCTGTCCCGGCAAAGACACACAGGAAGGATGCGGCCCATGCAGGGGGCCAGAGTGAGGGTGCATGTTCCAGTCCCTGCAAAGATACACGAGGGAGGACGTCCCTCACACCAGCGGACGAGGATGCTGCCTGTCCTATCAGAAGTACCTGTTTTGGAGGTGCCTGCAGTCCTCTGAACCAGAGAGCATGGAAGGAGACACTGGGTGGCAATGATTCCTGTCCCACCAGATGTGCCAGGACCTCTCGACTGGATTCTGCATAGCCTAGAGCCCTCATAGGCACATCTGAAAACAAAGGGATCAGGACCAGCCTGGTGGCTACAGGGAACCAAGACCTCACACAGGAACCAGGAGGGTGGACGGGGCCAAGTTGGGGGGGCAGACTCTCTCGGGACAGACAAGGGTCAACCAGCAGGGACTGGGCTGGCCCACCCCACCAGGGCCTCTTTGACGGGCTGGAGTGTCCCTTCTTGCCACTGAGCTCTCAAATTCTTAAGACACCCAGACAATGGCCATGCCAGGAAGGTCCTGGATCACTCCCTGTTCTGTTCCGGGCACTGACCTGGTGCCGTGCCCACTGGCCATACTACCATGGCCACGGGTGGAGAGCCAGGGGCTCCTGCAGCCCTGGGAGCACTTTATAGATGCCAAGGTCAGTTGAGCCAAGCCAGTCCTGGCTAGAGGCTTTGAGCAGCCTCTTCTCTTTTGTGCCCCTGTATTCCCTGGTGAAGGGATTGACTTTTAGTCTCCAGGACCTCGGTTGCACTGGGACCAAAATCCTCTCCCTGGGCCACCAGGCCTCCCTTACCGCTGCAGCTTTGGTCCTTGCCACCTTACCCAAGCTCATGCCATCTGGCCATCTCAGCCCCTCTAGCCCCCTAACGGATCATGCAGATCATGCTTTTTCTAGCCCCAAGGTCTTTGGCTGTGCTGTCTCTCTGCCCACAATGCCCTTCCTTGAGGTCTGTGCACAGCTGGCACCTCACCCTTCAGATCTTAACTCAAAACTCTCTTCTTGGGGAGGCCCTCCCAGATCTCCCTTCAGAAGTCCATCTCCTGTCCCTAGCCTGCATTATTTCTTCATAGTCTTTGCCACAATCTGGACATTATCAGGTTCCTTTACTTGTTTCTTTGTTGACGTCCCTCACTCCCTACCCACACACATGAGAGTGTGAGCCTTTGAGAGTCATGATGTTATCTATCTCATTTGGGGTATGTTCCCAGAACCTAGAACGGTGCCGGGCATACAAGAGTTGCTCGGTAGGACAGTAAACGAAAAAGCTCCATTTTACGGACAGAAAAACTGAGGCTCAGAGAGGTGAAGGGAGTTGCCCGGGACCACACAGCTCTCAGGACTTATAAAGCATTTGTAGAGAGTTTATGGTAGCCAGGTTCTGTCCTACAGTCAGAGGCAGCATGACTTTGAGATTATCCACTGGGGACTCAGCACCAGACCTGCAGAGGGGTCAGCGCTGCCTTTTCCAGGCCATCACTGTGGGCATGTGACTCCACTTCTCTGAGCCATCTAACAAACCGTAATCATAATGTGAGGCTGAGATAAGGACTAAATGAGTGAATGCATTTAGAGCAGAGCTTGGCACCCGTAAGTATCAATGCAAGTTGTGCTGTTATTATTTAAAATCATTTTAACGTATTATTTTTAGAAGTGAGTGCTAGGAAGCCCATTTAATAGATGAGGAGGCTGAGACTCGGAGAGATGCCACCACCTGCCCGAGGTCCCAGCTAGGAAGGGATAAGGCCAGTATTTTGAAGTGCAGCTGGCAAATTTTCAAATGTGGGTTCTCAACCTCCAGGGACAAATTTGATCTTGTAGCTGGGTCCTATGAGAGAGGTCTGGTCTTGAGGGTTCCCGGGGACAAGGTCTCTGAACCAGCAGAAAGAAATGCGGCAGTGAGGACATGCCAAACAGCAGGGAAGAGCGCTGCCAGGAGTGCAAAGGCCAGGGGTCACAGACCTCAAGAGGCTCTAGGAACCTCTGGAAAAATTAGCAGGAGAGAGGAGTCCAAGAAGGGACGTCACCAAGCAGTGACAGAAATACAAAAGCAGTGTCACTGGGGAGGAGAAATCCCTTAAGTGCCAAGAAAGTGCGGGGTGGAGGCGGGTCAGGTGGCAGCTGGCCCAGCCATGCCCCCTCCCAGCTGGAGCCCTTGGGGAAGCCGGACACCTGGTGGTTCGTGTGGCAGGGGAGGGAGGACCCTGCCAACTGCTCGGCCCGGGAAACCGGGCCCAAGGTCCGGCAGGCTCAGGCATAAGAAACCAGCCCTGGGGAGGCAGGGCAGGCCTGGCCCCGTGCCCAGACCCTGCTGCGATGAGGACAGGCCTGGCTGTGGCCCCAGCATCGTGTCTGTTGCAGGTGGCCGGACTATGCCATGCTGCTCCGGACCCAAGGTGGCAGCTCTCACCGCGGGAACCCTGCTGCTCCTCACAGGCATCGGGGCGGCGACCTGGGCCGTCGGTGAGAGTGGTCCCTATGCCTCTGACCTCCCCTGGCCCCTGCAGCTTCCAGTCTCCCTGCCTCACCTCTGCCTTCTCTGCAGTGACGGTTCTCTTCAGGAGTGACCAGGAGCCGCTGTATCCAGGTGAGCAGAGCAAACCTGGCCCTTGAGAGCCCTGAGAAAACCTGTGTCTGGCCCTGAGGAAACCAGTGAACGTGTCTTTGGGGTGAATGTGCAAATGCGTGCCGAGATGCTAATAATAATAGCGCATTTGTTTTGAGGGCCTGCCCTGTACCAGGCACCATGCTAAGCGCCTCACGTGTCCAGCCCAGTGTCTGCCTCCAAATGTAGTCCCATGAGTGCATCCTGAAATTAAACGAGTGAGATCGAAAATCGCTTTTAAAAAAGCATGCAACTGGTTAGATTCGAAACCGTCAAAGTGCCTCTCTTAACTTTCTTAATCTCTTGTTTTGGTTTTACGTGTTCACACGCACGCAATCCCATCGCATCCTCACAGCAGCCCCGGGAGGGTGGGACTGTTATTCTCCCCATTTTACAGAGGGGGAAAATGAGACTCAGAGCCGTGTGGTGGTTGGTCCCAGGCCACAGGACTCCTACAGGTTACATCATGACGTAAAAATGTGTTTCTGACGGTGGGGCATGGTCCAAACGTGTTCGAGAGGCGAGACGTGAGTTCATTGGGCTCTTCTAGCTCCCTCAGGAGGTCGTTGCTATTATTAGCCCTGTTTTACTCATGTGAAAAGTGAGAACCAGAGCAGCCACATGGCTGGCAAAGGGTGGGACCAGGGCTGGCTCTCGGACTTGCCCATGACGAACGTATCTGCAGGGTGGTGGAGTGAACAGCCACACGAATAAGCAGATGAGGAAATGAACTGTGGGATGAATCTTCCCAAATGCCAACTTCTGTGAGGCGGGGCAGCCAACAGCCAATAGGACGGGTTAGTCGGGCGGTGGGACGTATGTTTCACACCTCATCGAATTCCGTAAAGGATTCGGCTCACACTAAGAGAAAAAAGGAAAATCCAGACGCGAAAAGCCAACATCGACACGGATCATCATAGCCGGCCCTCGAGGCATGGAGACACCGGGCACAGGCAGAGCTAGTCGGTAGCAGGTCTGGGATGTGGACTCAGGCCACCTGGGTAGTAGCCGTGTGTGACTACTATCCTCGACCGGTTGCGGTCGTGAGGGCTAACATATGCCAGGCCCTGGCTGCAGCCTGAGCCCAACAGGCCTACGGAACTGGGGCTGAAAGCCTCCAAATGTTTAGCCTATGGGGGGATCTGAGGCCCACTGAAGTGAACTGACTTGTCCAGGACCACAGGTCAGATAAGTGGCAGAGCCAAGGGATCACGCTCCTGCCGAAAGCCCCTCTGTGGCACCCTGTGCCATCGGGATGAAATTCCAATCTCTCCACTCCCACCTCGCACTTGCTTCCAGTGAACTCGGGGCTCCAGTCCACAGGCTGCCTCAGATGACCTCCTTGAACGCGCGGAAGCCTCGACCCACCCACTTCTCGCCAGCTCACACCGAGAGGCAGGTTTTGGTTCTGCACTGTCTTTTCTGAGCTGTGTGGCCTCCCACCAGCCTGAACCCTCTCTGAGCCTCAATTTCCTCTCCTGTGGGATGGGAGTGAGAACAAGCAAATGAGAATTAAAGGAGATAATTATCTGTGTAGCACTTGGCTTCAGCCACACAGTAGATGTTGGTTTTAGTTTCTTGTCCTACAGGCTTTAGCTTTCTTGAGCCAGACTTTCCTGGACCCCCAGGATCCATGTTCCTCCCACCCCATGGCCACCCCTCCTGCCCCTGTTATAACCCTCCTCACACTCACTGAGTTATTTGCTCCTGGAGCATTTCAGGAAGGCAGGGACATTTTGTCAGTTCCTGGCACGTAGTAGGTGCTCAGGAAATCGTTGTGGAATAGTCGAGCCCAGAGACAAATCCCTGAGGAGAACTAGCTTGTCCTAGGCCACCAGCTAGAAAGTACCCAGGCCATGATTCATACCTGCTCCAGTTTTTCAGCAATGCTGGAAAATTATGAAATAAACAAAAACAACCGCAAGATTGTATCCCTACCTCATTTCTCTGGGACTTTCACACCTCTAAATATATCAGCCAACTTGGCAAGCACACCAGGTGACCCAGAACATACTTTCTGTGTTGCTTGAAATAATAGAAACAAGAATAAAGGATTTAAAAGTGAGAAGCAGTGGCATAGGATGTGGCTTTAAAAATAGGTGGAGAGGGCATTTGATGTTCCTTCTCCTCCCTTGCCTCCCCCAACATACATCCATAAAGGGTGGTATTTTTTTCCCTTTAAACCTCACACTTTCTGGAAATCACATTTCTGGAGCAGTTAGGAGTCATTTTAAAATAAGAATCCACCCCACCCCCCTCACCCCAGTCAGTGTTTCAAGCCAAGCCTTGTTCTTGGAACTCTGGAGGTGATGGGTGCACCCAGCAGAGGGGCCAGGCATCCCCTGCCCCACCCCAGAGCAGGAGGCCATAATTAAGGCAGATCAGCCAGGTCCTGGCTGTGGATGAGTGCCTTTGGGGTGAGGATAGGCAAGGATTCGTGTGAGACCCGCAGAAAAAGCAGGGAATATACAAGGCCTGGATTCATATTCTGGTTTTGCTGGTGTCCTGTGTTCCCCTGGGCAAGTATATCCCTCTGAGGCTCAGTTTCCCCATCTGCAAGATGGGCATAGAAGTGGCCACTGCCTCCCAGGATGGTTGCAAGATTCAAAACACCACCCAGATATGACACACAGCCTGGGGCCAGCCCACTGACAGCCCCCAGCAGATGTAGCCAGTGTTGTTTTTTTTTTTTGGTTTTTTTTTTTTTTTT